CAGATATTACATCTTCTATCATATTGTCATTCTCAACAGGTAAATTTTTTAAAGTAGGCAAAGCAGGTAAAGTTAAAGGTAATTGTAATTGTAGCTGCAACTGTGATTGTAGTCGTGGAATTACAATTGGTGTATTCTACAAGTTTTCATTGTATTCTGGTCTTGTTGGTACATTTTTTGATCTTTGTGCTTGTTTTTGCAGTCATGTATAAGACCTTTGAGAAAGCAACATTCTCCCATTATATTTATTGTTTGCTGTTGTATTAATCCACTAGCTGTCAAAAATTCTCTGTTACAGATTCTGCAACGATATTTAACTATGGTTGAATTTTAAATTTTTCTAGAATAAATGTAAATGATTACAAAGCGATTGATTTACTTGTGGTAATATTATTAATTTGATTTATATAATTTGTATAATACAGTTATCATATTAACTAATATTTTTAATTTAAATTTATTCAACGAATTGATCATTTTATTAATTATTACACAATTTTTTTAGCATGTTTTTTTTAGTATGTTTTCATCAATATTTAAACTAGGAATTTCTTTTTTTTTTCACTTTTCAATTTGACTTAATTTGTTTATTAAAAATTTACATTTGAAAAAAAATCTTATTTTTCAAAAATATTTTTTTCTTCGCTTATATCTAAAATTAAAATTTTTTCTTTAATACTCTTTATTTTTATTTATTTTTTTTTTCTTTACTGATTTCTAAATTTGAAAATTTTCCTTTGACATTCTTTAACCTACCATGTCTCTTAATAAAAAACAAAAAAGGAATTCAACAAGTAAATCATCGTTAGAAATAACACAATTACAATCTAGAGCTTCACAATTTACCAAAAACAAATTTTCTCAAATGTTGACACGTAGTAAGTAATATTCTAAGTCATGTCAGTATATATACAGTACATGAATTTAGTAATATTTTTAATTCTATTTAAAAAGAAATAAGATCAATGATCAAAGATTCTACTTTGACAAGCGTAACTGGCAGTACTCAGAAAAGAACACATAGTAAATCAACTGAGTTAGCATCCGTTAATACTACTTCAGAAAATACAACTAAAGATGCTTCTTCGAAAAATGCAACTGAAGTTACTACTTCGAAAAATACAACTAAAACTACTACTTCAAAAAATACAACTAAAGCTACTACTTCGACTAATACAATTGAAGAAGCTGCTTTGAAAAATACAACTGATACTAGAGTAGTTCACGATTCAGATAATTTAACTCTTAACTAGAGCTCTGAATCAGGTCAGGTCAACCTGTGACCTGACCCGATCCGACCTGAAAAATCCAGGTTTGGTAGACAAATTTTCAGGTTAACATCAGGTCAACCAATCAAATTAAACGAAATAAAATATTTAAAAAAAAAATTTTTTTTTGTCTATTTTTTTTTTAAATCATCTTTAATTTTATTTAATATACTTTCTTTTTATATTCTAATAAAGTTGTTTGTATAATTACTTTGTAATTTATTA